TTGATATATGAAGTTAAACAGCTGTCAGTTGCCCTACCCTGTCATGTCACTCTGTGTTTTCTTGTACATCTGCTGGGACAGCTGATTTATAAATGCAAGAAAGTCTTTTCTTCAATGTGACAAACTACCTTTCGGGGAAGTTGTTGCCTGAATATGAATCCACAGAAGCGGGAGTGGGTGGGGAGGGGAAGAGCATGACTTTGCTACTGGCTCTTACCAACCCCAAATGGATTGGTTTTAAACAACTCTATCAACGTGAATTTAATTAACCATCATCCTCCTGCAGTCATAAAACCTTTTGAAATGGAAACCTTTTCATGACTAAGCCACAATGAACTGCAATTATGCAAAAGAAAGAAAAGGCAAGCCCCAAAACCAACATGATGCGGAGGTGTAGTCATTGTGGATCTGGAACGACGCATATTTCCTGTGTCCTGCTAAGCTGCAAGCCAAAAAAAAAAAAAAGCAAAGGTTAACCAATGTGCTTCACTTACATCCGCTTCACTGATGTAGATCCTGGAATAACCAGCACCTAAATCAGGCTTAGCAGCATGTAATCAAAGAATGCTTTAAACATAACTAAAGAGACAAGGTGGGTGAGGTAATATCTTTTATTGGACCAACTTCTGTTGGTGAGAGAGACAAACTTTTGAGCTTACACAGAGCCACATTCTGCCACACCCAGAAACACCAACAAGCTTTTTCCTAGCAATGGCCCTGGACTTGAGCATGCCCGAAAGCCAGAAGAGGTCTGGCATTCAGGGAAAAGAGTGCAATTTAACATTCAGACTTAGACAACAGTCTGGACGTTCAGTCAGGGAGAGTTCTCCGGTGTGCAAAAGGCTCACTGAGGTGCAGGCGTGGTGTCACGCCCTTAGCCTGCCTACAACCCAAGCTTGTCCCATCAGCAGCACAACAACAAAAAACAATCTAAACTTGCCTTAATGAAAGTTGAGAGTGACATGCTTGGAAGGGCCAGTAGGGGAAGACACACATGTCTTCTAATAATACCACCCAGCTCTTATATAGCAGGTCAGTACCATCAGCCCCATTTTACAAATGAGGAAACTGAGGCTCAGGGAAGTGAAGTGACTTGCCCAAGATCACCCAGCAGACCAATGGCTAAGCCAGGAGTAGAATCCAGATCTCCAGCATCCTACCCCAGTGATTTACACACTACAGTAGGCTTGCGGGACTGAAGACCAGCAGGACTTTAGCTGGGATACCGCTTCTCTTCTTAACAGTTGACATGAAATCAAATGATCTAAAAAGTCGGACTAAATCCATTTTCTTGGAACAGCCTGTGCCAGACAAGGAAGGCCACAATCTAATACCCTAGCCACTCTCATTCTGCAACTCCAAATTAAGTGCCAGTACTCAGTCAGTGCACACACACATAGCTGTGAGCCATCTGGAAAATAAGGGCCTGATATTTGCAATTGCTCAGCATCTCTTTGGATCGAGTCCTAAAATAGCTGGCTACCACGACAGTGCCTTTTGAGCTCGGAAAATGGAATTACGTGCCATATTTCAGGGCAAGTTTGGTAGAAAAAGGAAGCGTTAAAAACACAAGCCGCTGCCGCCACCGCACCTGTGATAAACCTCAGGCTGCTCATTGCAAAGGAGAGCTGAAGTTAGCTTCAATGTACAGTTAAAAGTTTATATACAAACATTGAGGGGGGCAAAAGTTTGGACAGACTTCCCCTCCTTCCACATGAGATCACTTGCTTCTAAGGGTACATCTATACTGAAAAGATGTAAGAATGTAAGAACGGCCATACTGGGTCAGTTCAAAGGTCCATCTAGCCCAGTATCCTGTCTTCTGACAGTGGCCAATGCCAGGTGCCCCAGAGGGAATGAGCAGAACAGGTAATCATCAAGTGATCCATCCCCTGTTGCCCATTCCCAACTTCTGGCAAACAGAGGTTAGGGACACCATCCCTGCCCATCCTGGCTAATAGCCATTGATGGAACTATCCTCCATGAATTTATCTAGCTCTTTTTTTAATCCTGTGATAGTCTTGGCCTTCACAACATCCTCTGGCAAAGAGTTCCACAGGTTGACACTGCGTTGTGTGAAGAAAAACTTCCTTTTGTTTTAAACCTGCTTCCTATTAATTTCATTTGGTGACCTCTAGTTCTTGTGTTATGAGGAGTAAATAACACTTCCTTATTTACTTTCTCCACACCAGTCATGATTTTATAGACCTCTATCATATCCCCCCTTAATCGTCTCTTTTCCAAGCTGAAAAGTTCCAATCTTATTAATCTCTCCTCATATGGGAGCTGCTCCATACCCCTCATCATTTTTGTTGCCCTTTTCTGAACCTTTTCCAATTCCAATATATCTTTTGGGAGTTGGGGCGACCACATCTGCAGGCACTATTCAAGATGTGGGCATACCATGGATTTATAGAGAGTCAATATGATATTTTGTGTCTTCTTATCTATCCCTTTCTTAATGATTCCCAACATTCTGTTCATTTTTTTGACGGCCGCTGCACATTGAGTGGATGTTTTCAGAGAACTATCCCCAATGACTCCAAGATCTCTTGCTTGAGTGGTAACAGCTACTTTAGACCCCATCATTTTATATGTATAGTAGGGATTATGTTTTCCAATGTGCATCACCTGCCTCAGAGAGTCTCAGAAAACAGGTCAACTGACCAGGCTTGCGCTCCAGGGCAGTGTAGATTTTCAGGCTCAGGCTCAAGCTCTGAGACCGTCCCACCTCACTGAGTTTCAGAACGAGGGCTCTAGACTGCTGTTTTACTCGCTGCTGCAGGGGCGAGGGGTGCAGCACAGAGGTACCCTCAGAGAGAGAAAAGTGAGGGGCATGAAAATAGCCTAGCTGAGTGAGTCAGTTAATATAATTGATACAGTGACTTTTCAAGTACATTCAGGTCTAAAACCTCCGTAAAGCAAGAAATCTAATCTAACAAGGTTTAGATTGTTTATATTTTCCAACAGTAAGAGTATTACCCTCCATTTTACGATTTTTAAATTGTTTTTCCCCTAATAAAAATGTCATATAATGAAAAATAGCGAGAAATATATTTTTACCACTCTGGTCTCATTTACATACTTAAACTACACAACTACCAGAAAATGTCTCCAGGGTAAAAGTTACCATAGCTACTGAATAAGGACAGCTTTATACAACCAGCCAAAAATGGACATATTAAAAAAAAGATTTTGAACACCACAGTGACCTCAGACTAGTTTTTTCTTTGACCCCTTTTTTCAAGTGGCTGAATTGCAAAACTGTCGATTTCTGAGAGAGAACATTCTACTTTATGGTAACTAAAATGTAAGACGAGTTTCAGTGGTAGCCGTATTAGTCTGTATCAGCAAAAAAAATGAGGAGTTAGCCCACGAAAGCATATGCCCAAATAAATTTGTTAGTCTCTAAGGTGCCACAAGGACTCATTTTTTTTAAAATGTAAGACATACCCCAGGGCAAGTACAGGCTATCATAGTGGCCAATACTATCTCAGTTTCCCTGTACCCCCATCTTTTTGTGCATCCATCTGTTGTCTTTTGTCTTATACTTAGATTGTAAGCTCTTTGGGGCAGGAAATGTCTTTTGTTCTGCATTTGTACAGCACCTAGCACAATGGGGCTCTTAGGAGCTATGATCAATAACAAGTGAACTAATGAAAAGTATCAGACCATATTACAACATAACATCACCAGTGAGAGACAGGATAACTGGATATGTATGTAGTTTATACCACTGGAAAGAAGAGCAGCCAGCTTTCAGTGCGTGTCTTGAGTTTCTTCTGGATAGGAATAATTCTTCAGTGACCATTCGGTTTTCCCCTTTTCTTGAGAATAGAGAACAAGTATGTCTCCCCAGTGACCTACAGAAATCTTTGCCATTTACCCAACGAATTCAGAAATCTTTCATTATAAACAGCTGAAATAAGTCATTTTATTGTCACAGACATGAACATTTTCACAAGATTTTTTTTTAATTGGAACAATTTAGAAAACATCACTGAAGTGAGTAAATCAGAGCTGAAATAATGCAAGGAGATTATGACTGGGGTTCTCACATAGGGTGACCAGATAGCAAGGGTGAAAAATTGGGACAGGGGTGGGGGGTAATTGGCACCCATATAAGACAAAGCCCCAAATATCGGGACTGTCCGTATAAAATCGGGACATGTGGTCACCCTATTCTCACAGGAGCCCATGGGAGGGGGAGTTAGGAGACCAAACCCCATTGAAAGTCAATGGGAGTTGGACGCCTAGCTCCATTAAGATCCATTGAAATCCCAGCCTAAATACATTCAACTCATCAGAACTGTCCTCCAGGTATTTAACCATTAGCCTACTGCAGCAGGTGGTATTTCCGTATTGGACATGTAATGCACAAGGGACCAATCTTGCACTGTGATTTTTAAACTTTTTCTCGACTACATGGCTACGTAGTTCTAGTGGTGTCATGTTTGGTACCATTGTGTTCCTGGGAGTAACAGTCTGGAAGCACAATGTAGCAAAATCTCATTCCAGGGGCAAGTAAGTGATAGGAAGGTCTTTTGAATAATACCCAACTCAACCCATTTCCAATGACACTGTATTATCAAAGCTTCCACCAACTGGCGGACCTGGAACTGGTGGGGCATGGGAAGAACAGCAAGTCCCCACCGCCACGCCACAGAGGGTAACACCTCTGAAATAATGGTTCTGTGGATTTTTCACGAATCAAAGGACAACTGTACCTTCCCATCACTAACTTGCCCACGGAATGAGATTTTGCTACATTATGCTTCCAGACTGTTACTCAATGTCAATGCTTCATTTAAAACAAAACAAAACAAACCCCAGAAGTTTCTAGAAAACATGTTGGTATTATGCAACCAATGCTTTGTAAAGACCAGGCTTGTTAAACCTGCTGCTCAACAATCAACAAGTAAAAGGTTCCTACTAAAATTCAGCTCTCATAAGACTTCCTAGCAAGAAGAGTATGTGCAGTAGACAGAGCTGTTACTTACTACTTCTCCAAAGGAGGCGGCCGCCATGTGTGTTACTGGACTCAGGTACGGAGGGGAGGTAGTATGCAACATACATTTCACACATTCATAGGTGACAAAAAAGGCAGCAGCTGAAATTTTAAAAAAAGTCCAGTCATCAAACTATCCCTGTAACTGCATTAGCAGATTGCTGTTATAATCCAGACAAACCTAGTTTACGGTTATAATCCAGAAAATAGCCGAATGCTATAATCCAGAGACAAGACATTCCCCAAAACAGTACTACCCTTCTTACCAACATAGTTCCATGGTCAATACTCTTTCACTCATGGTCAAAGCTCCCTTTGACTTCAATGGGCCCAGGGCTTCAATCCATGTTTACAATTACAGTATTTAAAAAGCAAAAAGGCTAAATAGTATCTCTGACTGATTGGAAGTTTTTTCCCCCTTTTATACTGTGGGTAAGGGCTGTACTTTATTGTACGATGGTCAATTGATATTACAAATCAGTTCCTTTAAGGAAACAACTGCTTCAGTAACATTACTAACATTTAAATCTGATTGCAGCATCTTCCTAGCTAGAATCTGCCTCCTATTTTACAGTTTAGCTCCAGAAGCAACAGCAATTCATTTGAGAGAAAGAAAATGAAATCCTCCTGAGAGCTTGAACATTCATTACACTGTAATCCAATGGGCAAGGAACAGTTTTATTTTGTAATAGACCTAATCTCATAGCACAGAAAACCAATCCAAGTGTACCAGTGTACTATTAGAGACAGGAAGAAGAGCAAACCAGGCACTGAAGTGGCAACAGTTTTTTTGAACTAACAGGTGTCTTGCATTTGCTACCTAGCACATTAAGGGTTACTTGTATTCTTCAAGATAATTTAAGTTTTTGGTCTTACACTGCGGCAAGAGATAAATCCCAGCTCAGATGTTAGAGATGCAAATCCTGACAAAGCTGACATCTCTCACGGGGGAACAGATTTTAATTGTGCAAAAGGACTGCATGTATTGCCTTCTGCAGTTAATCAAAAGATGCTTATCGCCTCAAAAGGAGATAACGAAAGCGGAGATAAAGAACAGAATTTTTTTATATCATCTTTTGAAGGACATCGAACATTTGAAGGTGTCAGTGGATTGGTCTGTGAACTTAACATTTACAAACGTGACAGCCTAGCTGGACTTCATTTTGCAAAGAGGAAGAGAACAAACAGATCTCAGGAATTGCAAATATTTTTCTTCAGACACTAGAACTGTTTTGTTTTGTTTCTGAAAGACAGTGCCAATTTCAAAAGGCCTCCTCAAAGCTTCCCTCAGTTTCTAAATGACTTATAATTATTTATTTCTCTCCCCAGAAAAAAAAAAGAGAACATTCCCTGCTAGAATTTGGCTCTTAAAGACCAGAGGGGAGCACATGCATGTACACAAAATACCCTTGTGTATGGGGAGACTTTGGCAAACCAGTAAAGTGCTTGAAACCACTATGGCTTATTGTTAAAAAGCAACCTAGTCAGCAGGCTATAAAGTGGCCATGCAGCTTGACCAAGGCAGGAGGGGAGGGGGTTTTGGGTGCCTCAGAAAGGGCAGCTTGACCCCAGGTCCTTCCTGATAAAAATTGTATTAAAGTTGCTGATACATGCATTTGAAAAGAGCAGGATGTACCCTCAGGAACGTCTACTGGGGTCTCAAGGCTGCAGGCTCTGGAAAAACCCACACCTGGTTAATCAATAACCAGAAGGAACCTCTTGCTCGATCATTAAAACTGCTTACTTAACAAGGTTTCTTTAAGGGACATTCTATTACTAATGTATAAATAAGGGGAAAAAGCTAGAGATAGCAGGGACTCTTCGGCCTGGTCTACACTAGGCTTTTATGTCGACTTTAGCGCCGTTATATCGAATTAACCCTGCACCCGTCCACACCAGGAAGCCATTTAGTTCGACATAAAGCTCTCTTTAAATCGATTTCTGTAATCCTCCCCAACGAGAGGAGTAGCGCTAAATTCGACATGGCCATATCGAATTAGGCTAGGTGTGGATGGAAATCGACGTTAATAGCTCCGGGAGCTATCCCACAGTGCACCACTCTGTTGACGCTCTGGACAGCAGTCCGAGCTCGGATGCTCTGACCAGCCACACCCCCGGGAAAATTTGAATTCATTTTCATTTTCCTGTCTGGGCAGTTTGAATCTCAGTTCCTCTTTGGACATCGAGGGGAGCTCAGTAGCAGTGGCAACTATGCAGAGCTCTCCAGCAGAGATGGCCGTGCAATCCAATAGAAAGAGGGCCCCAGCATGGACTGATCGGGAAGTCTTGGATCTCATCGCAGTGTGGGGCGATGAGTCCGTGCTTTCAGAGCTGCGCTCCAAAAGAAGGAATGCTAAGATCTACGAGAAGATCTCCAAAGCCATGGCAGAGAGAGGCTACAGCCGGGATGCAACGCAGTGCCGCGTGAAAATCAAGGAGCTGAGACAAGGCTACCAAAAAACCAAAGAGGCTAACGGACGCTCCGGATCCCAGCCCCACACATCCCGTTTCTACGAGGCACTGCATTCCATCCTGGGAGCGGCCGCCACCACTACCCCACCCCTGACCGTGGACTCCGAGGATGGGATCATGTCGGACATGACAGCGGACGGGGAAGAGGAGGAAGGAGATGAGGAGGACGAGGCAGTCGACAGCGCTGGCACCGCTGATTTCCCCGACAGCCAGGAGCTCTTCATCACCCTTACCGAGATCCCGTACCAACCGTCCCCATCCCTTACCCCGGACACAGAATCAGGGGACGGATCAAGCAGTAAGTGCTGTAAACATGTAAACATTTATTTAAAACAGAACGGTAATATTTATACTATTAACAATGTATATTTATAAAAGTGCTGTAAACTAGTAAAAAAATAATCAGGTACAAAACAGGAATATTTACAAAGGTAACAAATGGGTTTTGCATGATTTCTCTGTCTTAGGCTCTTCTCAATTTAGTCCCAAGTATTTTAAAAAAATTTCACAATGTCCGTTACTACATGATTCCCAGGCCCAAGACGCTCCACTCCAAAGTCCCAGTGCACCTACGCGAAAATCCGGTCAATGTGGCCGGGGATCGACGAGAAATCCTCGTAGGAGAACTCCTCGTAGGTCTCGTGGAGGTAGAGCTCAAGCCTGTTGATCAGGTTCCGGGGTAGGGCGATCTTAGTGGGCCCTCCGTGGTAGCAGACATGTCCCCTCCATGCCACAATCAGGTACTCGGGGATCATGGCCCGACATAGCATGGCGGCATACGGCCCCGGTTTCTGCATGCTTTCCCGCAGCATGCGTTCTCTCTGGGTGTCCGGGATCCTCAGGAGGGTGATGTCGCTCATGACGCCCTGCTTTGAATTAGGGAGGGGACTGTTAGTATTGGGACTGCTTTACAGCCACGCGGTGGAGGGAGAGGGGCAGCATACAGGGATCTTTCCCTGGGACAGCCGCGAGGGGGTGGGACAGGGGCAGAGTTGATGCTGTCCTGATTGCTGGCAGCAGAGACTGGCATTGCTTTCAATGTGAAAGGAGGCCAGTGCTACTGCTGGAGTTTTAAGCAGCCACAAGTCTGCGGCTTACCATTATTGCCCGCTCCAGAAGTTCAGGTCTCCAGCCACAGTTCTCTGAACACTCCAAGACCTCCGCAAGTCCACAGGCACTGAAGGCGACGGCCGAAAATTCGACCTTGTCCTGAGTGCGCATGTGAGAGGTTCAGTGCATGGTCTTGTTCACAGAGAAAGACTAGGTTCTTTGTATACAATTTCATTTATCTGTCTCAGGAATTCACTCCCTTTTTAAAATTCACACAGACACATCTGCGACTGTCTCCCAACCCAGCCTGTCAGCACACTCCCAGAGGCTAGCGCAGATTAGGCGGAGGAAGAAGAAGACGCGTGAAGACATGTTCACAGAACTAATGGGCTGCTCCCGAGCCCAGGCAGCCCAGCAGACACAGTGGAGGGAGAACTTGTCACAAATGCACCGAGCAGTCATGGAACGGGAGGAGAGGTGGCGTCAGGAGGACCAACAGGCTACTGAAAAGCTGCTTGGACTAATGAGGGAGCAAACGGACACGCTCCGGCGCCTTGTGGATGTTCTGCAAGACCGGAGGCAGGAGGACAGAGCCCCGCTGCAGTCTATCTGTAACCGCCCTCACCCGCCACCAAGTCCCACACCACCCTCACCCAAAGTCCAAAGAAGGAGGGGCGGCAAGGGCCGTTAAAACTTTCAATCAACCCCTGCAGACTGCTCTAGCAGTAGAAGGCTGACATTCCCCAAAATTTCATAAGTCCTTTCCTACCCACCTCACACAAGCCCCCGTCCAAGTTTCACCCCCCACGTTTCATGTCTGGTTCGCAATAAAATGTTTGTTTCTGTTCATTACTGTTTCAGTCAGGTTCTTTTGAGGGAGAGTCTGTCTGGAGGGGGGGAAGGGGCTTGGTAATTGGACAGGACAGTCACCTTTAGCAGGGTACAGAGGCGGTGTCAGGTCCAGCATCAGGACACATACACAGTGCAGTCACTGGTTACCCTGGTCAGTCTGGGAGGTGCTTTTCATGTTTTTGGGGGGGGGGG